ACAAAAATAAGTTTCAGGCATTTGATGAGTAAGATAGGAAATGCACACACAAACGCTTACATAAAAACAGTTAATGTTGATAGGTGAATAATTAAGATGGTCAAAAATGTGACTCAAGCAGAATGAATAGATTGGCTTGTCCGGAAGATAGAATAAGCTATGTAGGCTAGCATAGCAACCGACAGTATTATATTATATGTTTAGTGTAAGTCAAGTGCTAAAATAAAATCTTGTACAGCTGAATGACAGTTTATACTTCAAACGATTATAAAATTTTTATTTGAGTATTTACCTTATCAGTAATTTCTTTACCGAGTTACCAGATAAAATATTTGAAGACATTCGTTTTCGCCTTAAAACGAACGTCAAGGCAGTTGTACTGTACGGAGCTGAAAATTGCAGAACTACAACAACCACCATCAAGAAGGTACAAATATTTATAAATGGTTGTCTACGCAGGATATTCAACATCCATTGGCCGGATACCATCAACAACAGCCTTCTCTGGGAGAAAACAAACCAACTTCCACCTGATGGAAATGGAAAGGACATACATTACGCAAATCATCAAACTACATCACGAGGCAAGCCCTAACTTGGAATCCTGAAGGGAAGCGGATAAGTGGAAGGCCAAAGAACACATTACGTCGGGAAATAGAATCAGATATGGAAAGGATGAATATAAACTGGAAGAAGCTGGAAAGAATTGCACAGGACAGGATTGGATAGTGAGTACTGGTTAGCGACCTATGCTCCTTCACGAGGAGTAGCAGGCGTAAGTAAGTAAGTAAGTCAAAACGACAGGATATCGAAAATTTTCAACTCAACCTGAATAAATTTGCAAATAGTCCTTGTAACTGATTCATTTATTTTGAGCCCTTTTCCGTTATTCGGCAAATCTTTTCAGTAATATTACATGTCTGGATTGTGTATATTGGCAATGAGAGACATAACTTCATCTCACTAATAGGAAATAAATGTTAAGTAACCTGACTAATGTTCGATTTCTAACCGCATTTTCTCTCTATTCCTAATTGCTTTTACATTTCTTCATACATTTAGATGTTAGTTACTTCTACAAGTTCCTATCAGATATTAATTTGTTAATTAAATGAGTTTAAGCTTTCAAAAAAATGGAACCATTTCTGTCCATAGATTTACGTTAGATGTTATCATAGCCTTATGTTCATTTCATTATCAGGTTTTATAACAATAGCATTAAAACCTATGTATACACTAATTTTATTCCATTATCTTATCAACAAAAAAAAACAAACTAAAATGATTATCAATCATTTGAACCTGGAAACTATATAAAATTTAACTGTTGAAATAAGAGTTTGAACTAGGGAAAAATTATCCCATGGGATATAATTGAATTAATCTTTGATACAATGCAATTATGGTTTATATATTGTCATCAAAAATACATCGACATTGTTAATCATTTATATTGAATAACATGAGTAAGACATGTATTTTCTGCAAAATAGGAACAGGAGTTATTGTTTTTTTGTTTGTTGTTAACGTTTTGTGGAAACTTTCGAACTTTGTGGTTCACATTGTGAGTGTATCTTGGTTTAACAAGTATTAAAATTATGAAGACACTAAAATAGCTGTTTTAGTAATAGTATGTGACTCCTCAATTGTGCACATGAAGACCACTTTAGGGATGGAAACCATAATTTTTGAATATTATGGTATATGTTCATTCTTCAAACTTCTGAGTCAGAACCCAATATTTAACATTTGTAATATCCGTCAGTTCGTGACTATCTTCCCATTTTAATGTTCGGTAACTACCTCACATTCAAAATCGTAAAGATTTTTCAATAAAACTTTTAAAAAAATACTAATTGAAATGCGACACTAGTGATTAAGTGATTATTAGTATAATGCAGTCATGGAGATTACTAAAAATTTTAGTTGACATTATGAACTGACACATTAATGGGATTAGGAAGTGGTTATGTCTGACATCAGAAATACAATATACCTGATGACTTATAGCATAAAAGCTAAGCTTTTTCCATGAGATTTGAAGATTTCGTACTTGAACCCTGGTAAATTAATGTATAATCACTCAAGTAATGAACTTTACTATGATGAGAGAGTTGTTCAATGCTTCCTAGTATAAAATAATTGTCTAAATAAGATCACTTTATGATGTAAACTGTATAATGTTTTTTTCGAGTTTAAAAAAAAAACGTATTCAAACTATGAATAATGAACATAAATAGTAAAGAGAGACAGAATGATAAAGACCAAAAGTCAAAATAATTTTAGATTCCATATACTTTTTTTTTTAATAATCATAAATCTCATTGGAATTCAAGGTGCCATTTCAAATAAGAAAATAAATTAGATTAGTGAGTATGAAAAGTTTGTTAAGATTGATGATTCTCCGTCTAAAACCAAAATATTGAATGTACTTTGAAAATGAAATCCTTTTTCATTTATGAATGCATATTATATTATAGACATATAAACAGGCGCCATTTTAAAATTGCTATATTGACATGAATATAAATAAATAAACTACAATTGGCAATTAATGTTAGAAATTGATTTGAACACAAATAATCATAAACTGTTAATTGTTTCTCTTTTAAAATATAAACTATGTGACTAATGTTATTCATGTCATCTTATTTGTAATATGTGGTAAAGATAATTTATCCACAATATATACAGTATTAGACAAACCGGTTTACAACTATTTTACATGCTTTTGTCTTATGTTTAATAGATAATTCCCATTTAAACATTAAATTTAAAACACGAATTTCAGCGAAGGGATCTCTTTTCAACGAATTTATTATCAAGCTGTAGAGCTGTGGAGCAAGGTACATTGGCCGTAGCCAGCGCTCGCTTTCAACTCGGATACGGGAACATATTCCGGCTTGGTTCTGTAAGGGGGAAAGGAAAGCAGTTAGGAGTTCTATACTTGAACACCTAATCGACTGTAACCATTCCACTGATCCAAGAAATGAATTTAAGATTGTTTATATGATTCGTTCAAATCTACCCAGATTTCTTCGCATCCAACTTTTAAAAATAGCCGAAGCTCTTATCATCCAGGAGCTTAAGCCAGAACTATGCGTACAAAAGAAGTACGTCTTATCGTTATCGTTACCTTGGCCTTAAGTATTTTGATTATCCAATTATTATTATTATTATTACTGCATTCTCCCCTTTACTTATATCTTATATTCTCATTGTTTTATTAGTGAATACTCATCATATCACCATATTTATTTATCTTTACACCTCTATTGACCTTTAATTATTATAACAAAAACATTTTAATCATCTTATTATAATCACTAAATCTATTGTTATTATTATTATTATTCATATTACGTAATCTAGTATTATAACCTTCTTATTAACTATGTTCACATTTCCTCACGGAATTAGTACTTTTACAAAATCAAAATTTTCATATATATACGATTGTACAGCTTGATAATAAATTCGTTGAAAAGAGATCCCTTCTCTGAAATTCGTGTTTTAATTTTTATGTTTAATATTAAAATAGAATATTTTATTTATTCTAATGAATATTTACTCATATTTCTTTGTCTACTGTATCATATGAAGATGAATTAAAAGGGTGTTTGTAGAATATTGTTGGTTGAAGAAAACAAACTATCTCACATTGTCTATTGAACAGATAGTTATGTTCCTTTCTTGTTTTTTTTTAATTATTTTTATTTATTATGCTAAAACGCAATTATGTACTTTTATAAAGAGATTTAATCTATCGTTTATAAAAAACAAAACGAAACGAAACAAATATACATAGATTTTGTTATTTGTTTAGAGTCTGTTTACTGATTTTTATTCAAATAATAATATTTTTCATTATGTTTGATGCATTGTAATTTGATCGAAAACCATTACATTAAAGCTTTATCCAATTGATGATTGATGTTACTATAGAAATAGCATATAGGTATAGTGCATTCAGTGAATTAAACTAAAATACATGAGACTGATCAATTGCAGTCCTAAATAACAATGTGAAGATACAAGTAAAACAACACCAAGTGAATTTAAACTTCATCCCATTGCACAAACAAGTGGCTATCAGGACTCCGTAGCTAAGTGGATAATGCGATGACGTTTGAAGCGAACAGCACTGGGTTCGAGTCCCGGAGTGAACAAGAAATAAGGGATGCAGTTACATCCAGCTGACAAGTCCCAAATAGGACGAAACGCGCATCCTGGATTCCACTGCTAACCATTATCTATATTTGCTTAATAAACTAAAATAGTTTGATAAACAGCCAACTTGCCTTAACTAAAAGTTATACAATAGTGTATAACTGTGTGAAGGATTCTCAAATAAAGTATAAATAAGTTTCATACATTTATTTTCTAAAGTCGATCCACACATTCTCATGGTTTCATCCAGGGCATAAAGGAAGAAACAAGTATACATTTAGACTATATAAAATACGTAGGGGCTGGTCCTATGTTGAGACCACATAGCTTATTCTAGCCTCTGGACGGTCTGTCCACCATATTTTGACCTTTTCATTTATTCGCTTATCAATATTGACTGTTTTTGTGTAAGTGTTTGTGTATGTATTTCCTATCTTACTGATCATATGCCTGTAACTTATTTTTGTCTGATTATAAATGCCGATTCATGCTCGCCTTCTCCACTGCGCATCATTTTGTTTGTATTCCCATCAACAATTGTACGAAATATGAGTACTTGAAAACCATTTTCGTATTTGATTTTGTTATTCACTAACGCCATTTAAGTCGATAATTATATGCGAAAATTGGCGACATATATGGGTTGATAAACGATCTACCTGAAGTCAGATCTCAGGCTACTAAACATATAAATACTTTGCATCAAGTATAAAGTTACTGTGTTCAAAGCAGTAGTGAGCAAATTATCAACATGCAAATACGGCATTCTGACAAGATAAGAATCATTTCAAATCAGCATTAATCATTGTTTTACAGTTGAGATAACTTACATTACGTCCACACTGATCATTAAGAGATCTTTCATAAAAATACGTTTTATGTCTTTCATCCCCATGGTAGTTTATATGTTCATTTGTCTGGCAGAGACTTGTACTCGTTTGGGTCGGTTCTCTACAAGATCGTTTGTAGCCGTATGTTTGTCTTCTACGAAATGCTTTTAGTGATAATAAGTATCGACTTGGTAAAGGATACCTAAATTTGTAAAGTATGAAACCAGTAAAACGAGATTATGTTAATCACAAAATGACGTACTTAAATGAAAAATACGTATACACCAGTTTTCTCTGATAATACTATATAGAAAAAAAGCGTTTTACGTTACGATGGCCATACTTCAACTCTTGCAACTTACTTTACCAGATTTTCAGATTGAGAATATGAGAGTTTATGCTCAGTTACTGTTGACCTGAGGGTCGTTTACTTGTCTCTGAAAGTAAGAAAAGGATTTCTCAGCTCAAACCTCCAAAATCTTGTTTGTAGATAGTATTTAAAAATTAGCTTACGTGCTATAGTCTCCTACAAACATTTAATAAACACAAATTTCCTTTCTCAGCTTCAATGATTGTATATCGTTTTCATGACTTTAGTGTGGTGGGGTATATTGACAGCATACAACATCAATAATATAAATGTTGTGAACAAATTTCGGAACAATATTTAACTTGATTATCACAGAAATAGAAATTATTTATTAAACACCTCATTTTAGTTCATCCTATAATCATAACGTACTGATTTCACATCTTGTAATTAGACCTTAACTGATTGTACAAAAATAAAATGTACAATCCTGAATTTATTACATTTGTCAAGTATACCTTCTGATGTCATACACATAACGCTATACTATTTGACTAAGTTTATTTTAACGTTTGTTACATAACAACATGTTTCTTTTCTTATTATGTCGACATGGAAAAAAACAATCTCTTTTGACAGGGACTATTACCCTTACATATGACCTAAAAAGATTAGATTATTTATTTCTGTTAAGTGTAAATAAATAAAAATAAAAAGCAGTGTTTAATTTATAATTTCATAGTTTTCACTATCGTAGGCCTCACTTATATTGATATTTTAAAGTTAAATAAATGAACTATTACCTAGAATTACTATAGCTGTACAATACTAGGTGTTTACATATTGCTTTGTTGGCAAACCATTAAAAGGTACTAATTTTATTTATTCTTTATATTAATAAAACATCCCATAGATGGGACCACTCAAGAATTAATCACTTTAATTGTAGTCATCTTGTAAGTGTCTGTAATTCATTACGGTTCTTACGTAATGTTTTACATAAATTATATCTCTGATGATAAATTCCAATACATATGAAAATATGTGAAATAATATTGATACACTAATCTGATAATCTCTTTTAATACACATGTATCACTATGAAAAAGGAACGTTGGAATGCCACATAAAATTAAATTTCACTTTGATTTTTCTTAGCTTTCAAGATTTAGCTTTTGGTTGGAATAATAGAAAGTACTTGAATTACAAATATTTGGTATTTAATTCATCACTTATAATTTTATTACTGTCTATAATTTTAATTACTAGATGATTTAAAAGATTTAATGAAGGAAAAAAAGATACTAACTTTCAAAATTTCATAAATTATAGAAGTACAATAGACCAGGTGTAAATTAGTTTATGTATCCCTAATGTCCCCTTTTTTTAGACCTTCATAATACTAGTGATGTGAAATCTTTGGAAAATGAAGGGTATACTATTATGATATAAGATGGTGGTTGAAGATAGTCTTACACGTCAGTCGCGACCCGGCTAACTCAGTGGTAATGTCTCTGATTGTGAAGCAGAGTGACATGGGATCGAACCCATCAGGGAGCATCACTTCCCTCAAGATTATAGGTACACCTTGCTGACGAGTGCCAAGTAGCACGAAACCTAGGTTGACAGTCCCCTGTTGACTAATTTCAACCACAATCCTATCGCAACATAGTGCACGCAATGTTGAGTCGCCTAGACTAGTGGCCACATACTTTGTACTATAAAAACTTATTTGTTTTCAAAGCCTAATGCATGTATTTACCATACGTAATGTGTGATACAATATAAGTTACAATGATATTAGAAATAAATGAGAAAAATACTATTTAGTGATTAAAACTGACTATATCAAGAGTGCTACTTTGTTTCATTGTGCAGTGAACTAAAATTCGTAAATATTTTTCTTCTATAACACGGAATTAACCTATGTCAGGGTCTTTTCTAGTAGTTTCTTGAAACTTCATGTCACTTGTATTCGCATACATAAATTAAGCATTAAGTACTTGGCTCACTTTAATATACTTTCTATGGGTCAATCTTAATCTAAAAATTGAGAAGTATGAGATGTTGTATATGCCGTTATCATTATGGTTCAATGCCAGCATAAGCAAATGAGTCACTGAAACAATGTAAATATATAGTACTAGTGATTTGAATGAATTATAATCAGTAAATTGTATTATCTAATTTGTTTCAAACTTTCAAGATCTGTATTACAAACTCATGCTATTTCCGTACGCAAAGTTCAGCTATTCAGCTTGAAACTATTAAAAGAAATCATATTGAGCACAAAATTGTTGGTTTCAAAAAATACAAGAAATTGAGAAACAACTGCTAAGTCTCTGAATGAATATTATTTTTGTCTACCTAGTGATTTTATTCATAATTTTTTGTGATATTACTACATTTCATTTAACCCATCTACTGGTACGAATTATCATCGAAAAATGTTTTTATTATCTTTATCCACTCACATGATCCACTATCAACTTGTTCGTTTGAAAAGGCTTTTTATTTGCACACATACAACCTTTTATTGTTGATGTTTACGTTACTTAATCTGGTATTATAATCTTTCAATTACATCACTATATTTATTCTTTGTTCATATGTTCTCACGGAACTAGTACTTAATAGATTTTCATGTATACATACATATACGATTGTACAGCTTGACAATAGATTCTTGAAAAAGCGATTCCTGCGCTGAACTTCGTGTGTTTAATATTTAAATGTGAATTATATCTCCATTTAACAGGTTCATGATTATAAAAATTGTTGTCGTTGTGAGTAAACTAGTGAATAATTCAGTGTAACAAACCAATGCCTGAGATACTATGGAATACTTAACATGTTCTACATTAAAACATATACCATTGGTTGTGATAAATCATTAGTATCAAAACAGCTTATACAACAAATAATAATCCGACTACTTCTATTGTCGATGCCTCTTCCAGAGTTGCGCAAATGCTTTCCAAAGAAGCACGAAATGCACTTAATAGATGGGAATCTCACGGATCCAGGATCATCAAAGCACCCTTCAAAACAAAGAAGGGGAGAATCACAATAAATATTATCCAGTGTTGTTCACTCGCCAATGATAGCAGTATAAGTATTTATAAAAAAATTATCTACGTAAGATACTGAATGTCCTTCGGTCGGATATCATCAGCAACAGCCTACTATGGGATAGGACATACCAGCTTCCAGCTGAAAAGACATTGAAAATAGATAAAACGTACAGTACGCAAATCACCAAACTGAATCACGAGACAAACGGTAACTTGGATTCTTGAAGGGAAGTATAAAAGTAGAAGGCCGAAGAACACACTGCATCGGAAATTGTAAGCAGATATGAAAAGGATGAATAGCAACTGGAAAGAGCAGCCCCAAGAAAGTAAGCAAGCGCTTCTGCTTTTACATTCATTACTCAACTTTTAGGGCGACAAGCCTTATACATTCCTAAACGCCCACCCAGAAAACTAGAAAGCTATTTCTTTTGTACCAATTAACTTTCCTCTCAGATACTAAATGTATATGATTTAACAAAATGATCTGACCTTAATTTATCCTAATTTAAATATCTCAATAAATACATAATTGAGATGTTTCTATTAGAAATTTGGGTAAAAAAATTATTACAGATTGAAATCATGAGTCAATTGAAGCTAGAGCACCATTGAAAACCTGGAAGCACTGGACGGCCGTTTCGTCCTAGTATGGGACTTCTCAGGACCGTTGGATGCCGGCTCAGCGGTCTAATGGTGAAGTGCTCGCACACGAAGCCAGTAGGTCCTGGGCTCGAATCCCGCGTGGTGCGGGATCGTGGATGCGCACTGCTGAGGAGTCCCACACTAGGACGAAACGGCCGTCCAGTGCTTTCAGGTTTTCAGTGGTGATCTAGCTTCAACTGACTCATGATTTCAATCTGTGAAAATTTCTGAAATCTCTACAAACCCCTTCTGATAAAAAATTATTAATTAGTTCACTAAAATATATAGACGATTAAAGATATGATGATAATTACCAATCCAAAGAATACCCTTTGAAAAAAACAGTTTTTAAAAGTACTATAAGATGATTATGTGATCGTGCACGAGATGAGTAGGTCCTGGGTTCGAATCTCAGGAGACAAGGTCGTCGATACGCACTGCTAAGGAGCTCTATACTATGCGACACAGCCGTCCAGTGCTTCAAGGTTTTCCATCGTGGTCTATCTACAATTGACTCATGATCTCAACTATTGAAATTAAATAATTGTTTAACTGATATACATCTAAAATTCTAACAAATGATTCATTTAAAATTATCAATGAATATTTAAAATTTTCTTCTTACTTCTTGCTTATTAAAAAAAAAAACAAGAAAAATGAAATAATAACACCGAAAATCGAATTCTTACAATTTACGTGACCATAAATAATGTTAAAATAAATTTGTCATTTTTATTAAAAGTGAATATGCATATATAATACAGATTTATATTCAACAGCTGAAATCATAAGTTGATTAAAGTTAAACCACCAATGGAAAGCCTAGAAGCATTGGACGACTGTTTTACATCCTAGTCTGGTACTCCTTAACAATGAACATTCATGATCCCGCCTGTTAAATTATTTAATAAAGAAATATCTTGTGATTATTTTGTTAACTAGTATTGATCAGTTATGAAAATGGTTGAGCAAAAAAAGACAGATTTTCTTAATCTTTTCTCACTTGTTTTTTCATTTAAGTGTTATATTCTTTATGTGATGATCGCACTTAAAATATAATAAGAAAAATATTGCAAAAATTTCAATAAAATTTGTATAACATTTAAAAGATCACATTTCATCGATTGGCGAAACTCTAATTTATAGATGAGCTAATCAAAAGCGTTTTCGAAATTT